TTTCAGGGCTCCGACGCTCCAAGACTGTCCAAGAGTCTCCTAAAACCGCTCCAAAACGGCCGAAGAGGCCCCCAAGACCGCCCCAAGACGGCCCAAGAGACCCCCAAAATCTTCCCAAGACGGCCCAGGAGAGCCCCAAGATGGCCCAGGAGCCGCCCAAGACGGTTCCAGGAGAGCCCCGACAGGGCTTCAAGATTGCCTAAGCGAGCCCAGCGGGCCCCAAGAGGGCCCCGCGAGGCCCCAAGAGGCCCCAAATTGGCCCCCAAGAGCCTCCCTGGAGGCCCCCAAGAGGCCCCCAAGATGCCCAAAAATGGCCCTGAGCGCGCCCCAAGACGCCTCCAGGAGAGCCCAACAGGCCTCCGAGAGGCCCCCAAGAGGCCCACTGGAGGCCCTCAGGAGGTCGTCCCCATCATGTTCCCGGAAGGCGGTCCGGGAACATGATTCCGCGCCTTGGAAGAGTATTCTGCGCCTTCCGAGGCGCCTTGGACGAAGTACGATTCATATTCTTGAACGCTATCCGGGAACATGATTTCTCACCATTTCGGAACGCTTTCCTACTGCTGCGGTGCTCTGGGGGGAAGGGACGGGGGTCCGGGAACACGATCGGGAGGTTAGGGAACGAGGGTTTGGAGAGGAACAGTAGGACAGACGGACGGGCAAATACCGGCCCATTCCCATTCGTAAAGCATGCATTTTCAGCACACTCGTTTGCTTGGTCCTCACAGTGCCCCAGACGCCCCCGAGCCCCAAGACAGCCCAAGAGAGACCCAAGAGGGCCCACGACGGCCCAAACGGGTCGTCCTGTGAGGCTCACGGAACCCCCCAAGACGGCCCAAGAGGCCCCAAAGCCGGCCCAGGAGGCCCCCAAGACGGCCTCAGGAAGGCCCAAGAGGGCCTCGTTCGAAATCATGTTCCCAGAAGCCTTTCCGGGAACATGATTTCCGGGTTTCTAGGACGCTCAAGAGGGCCCCAGGACGGCCCCAAAAGGGCCCTAAAAGGACCTTCAAAAAGGCCCGGATGGCCACAGTTCGTTGATTTGCGTGAGATGTTGTTGGATTTCTTCCGCGCGGAGGAGACGGAGAGGGCGAAGGAGGAGGAGGAGGAGGAGGAGGAGGAGGAGGAAGAGGAGAAGGAGGAGGAGGCAGGGAGGAGGAATGGAGGGGAGGAGGGGGGGAGAGAGGAGGAGGCTCGAGGGCGATCGACGATCGGCGACGACGACCGGAGACGGTGATTGACGACGACGACGACGACGACGATGACGACGACGACGACGATCGACGACGGTCGACGACCGACGACGACGACGATCGACGACGATGACAATAGTCGACGGCGCCGATCGACGATCGACGGCGACGACGACGGCCACGCCGACGGCGGCGACGCTGCCCGCGTGACAGCCCAAGAGGCACACAAGACAGCCTCATCGAGGCCCCAGAGGGCCCCAAGACGTCCAAGAGCGCCTCAAGAGGGCCCGAGATGGCTTGAAGATGGCCGAAGAGGGCCCCAAGAGGGCCTTCAAGAGGCAAAACTTTACCCATTCCTCAGTGTAAAACGTACAATTTCAGCATACTCGCTTGCTTCGTCCTCAGAGTGGCCCCCGAGGAGCCCCAAGACAGCCCAAGACGGCCCCAAAGGCCCCAAAGCCGGCCCAGGAGGCCCCCAAGACGGCCTCAGGGAGGCCCAAGAGGGCCTCGTTCGGGAGCATGATTTCCGGGTTGCCAGGACGCCCAAGAGGGCCCCAGGACGGCCCCCAAAGGGCCTAAAATGACATTCAAAAATTCCCAGAGGGCCGCAGTTCGCTGATTTTCGCGAACTGTTGTTGGATTTCTTCCACGCGGAGGAGACGGAGAGGGCGAAGGAGGAGGAGGAGGAGGAGGAGGAGGAGGAGGAGGAGGAGGAGGAGGGGAAGGAGGAAGAGGAAAAGGAGAAGGACGAGGCGGGGAGGAGGAGTGGAGGGGAGGAGGGGGGAGAGAGGAGGAGGAGGTTCGAGGGCGATCGACGATCGGAGACGACGACCAGCGATGGTGATTCACGGCGACGACGACGACAACGACGACGACGACCACGACGACGACCGATGACGATCGACGACGATGACAACAGTCGACGCAGCCGATCGATGATCGACGGCGACGACGACGACGGCCACGCCGACGGCGAAGACGCTGTCCGACAGCCTCAGCGAGGCCCAAGAGGGCCCCAAGACGTCCAAGAGCGCCTCAAGAGGGCCCGAGATGGTTTGAAGCTGGCCGAAGAGGGCCTTCAAGAGGCAACAATCGGCCCATTCCCGTTGTACAGCGTACGTTTTCAGCATACTTGCTTGCTTGGTCCTCGCAGTGCCCCAGACGCCTCCGAGCCCCAAGACAGCCCAAGAGAGACCCAAGAGGGCCCACGACGGCCCAAAAGTGAGGCTCACGGAACCCCCAAGACGGCCCAAGAGGACGATGGCCACGCCGACGGCGGCGACGCTGTCCGCGTGCGCAGAGCCACCCTGGACCCAGTCTTTTCTGCATCGTTCGAAATCCTGTCCCTGGAAGCGTCTCCGGGAACATGTCTTCAGGAGGAGGAGGAGGAGGAAGAGGAAGAGGAGGCAGATTAGGAGGAGGAGGAGGAGGAGGAGGAAGAGGAGGAGGAGGAGGAGGAGGAGGAGGAGGAGAGGAGGAGGATGAGTGGGCGGGAGGGCTCGGGGCCGATCGACGATCGGCGACGGTGATCGGCGACGGTGATTGACGATGACGACGACGGTCGTCGACGGCGACGACCGACGACGACGACGACGACGATGGACGACGATGACAACAGTTGACGCCGCCGATCGGCGAACGGCGACGACGACGACGACGTCTTCACAGTGCCACCCCGAGGAGCCCCAAGACGGCCCAAGAGGGACCCAAGATGACCCATGATAGCTACAAGCCAGCCCAAGAGAGCCCCAAAAGGCACCCAACAGAGCCACAACGGGGGCAAGCAGAGCTGCCTATAGAGATTCTCGGGAGGCCTTTTCCGCAGCGTCCGAATTCATGTTCCCCGGAGCCTCTATCGGAACATGATTTCGGGGTTCCCAGGACGCCCAAGGGGGCCCTAAGACGGCCCCGACAAGACCTAAAAGGACGCTCGTAAAAAAAACCCTGAGGGACACAGTTCGTTGATTCCCGCGACATGTTGTTGGATTTCTTGCACGCGGAGGCGGCGGAGGAGGAGGAGGAGGAAGAGGAAAGGAGGAAGAGGGGATGGACGAGGAGGAGGAGGAGGGGGAGGAGGAGGACGAGGGGGGGAGGAGGGGGGGGGGGGAGGAGAAGGGGGACGGGGGGAGGAGGAGGGAAGAGGGATGAGATGAATGCTGATGATGATGATGCTGATGATGATGATGATGATGATGATGATGATGATGACGATGCTGAGTTGATGGGAGGAGGAGGAGGAGGCGGAGGAGGGAGGCGGAGGAGGAGGCGGAGGAGGAGGAGGGGAGGAGGAGGACCGGGGGAGGATGGGAGGAGGAGGGAGGAGGAGGAGGAGGAGGAAAAGGACGAGGATGAGGGGGAGGAGGAGGAGGGGGCGGAGGAGGAGGGCAGGAGGAGGGGGAGGAGGATGTGGAGGAAGAGGAGAAATGGAGGAGGAAGAGCAAGAGGGAGGCCTCCCCCGAGTGTTCCCTTTTTATCCGATGTGGCCCAATGCTCGCGCGGCGTCGCAGTGCCGTTTGGCGAGCCATGTAGCCTGACGGGAGGAGGAGGAGGAGGAGAGAGGAGGAGGAGGAGGAGGAGGAGGAGGAGGAGGAGGAGGAGGAGGAGGGGGGGGGAGGATGAGGCGGAGGAGGAGGAGGGGAGGAAGAGGAGGAGGAGGGGAGGGGAGGAGGAGGAGGAGGAGGAGGAGGAACATGATGAAGATGATGATGGTGATGGTGGTGATGATGAGGAGGAGGAGGAGGATGAGGAGGAGGAGGAGAGGAGGATGAGGAGGAGGAGGAGGAGGAGGAGGTGTGGAGGAGGAGGAGGAGGAGGAAGAGGAAAAGGAGGAGGAGGAGGAGGAGGGAAAACAGGAGGAGAAGACGGAGGATGCGGAGGAAGAGGAAGAGGAGAAGGATGAGGAGGAGGGAATGGAGGAGGAGGGGAGGAAGGGGGCGGAGGAGGAGGAAGGGGGGGAAGGAGGGGGCGATGGGGGGAGGAGGAAGAGCAGGAGGAGAGGAGGAATAGCAGGGGGAAAGAGGAAGACAAGGAAGAGGTGTCGTGTTCGGCCGCCTCGGGCCGCCTGGGGGTGAGGAGCGCCCAGAAGCTTTTCGAACCACGACCGCGAAACTCGACGAACAACCGAAGTGCATTCAGCCTTCAACCTCCTCGTCCGTTGTTTGGCCGTTGCCCCGGACGAAGCTAGAACCTAAGCGCGCGCGTAGCGCGCGCGTGGTTCCAGTATATATATATACATATATATATATATATGCACATACATGTACATATGTGTGAGATCTGGTTTATGGTAGTCATGAATATATATATATATATATATATATATATATACAAATATAGTGTAACTACATAGCGATGTGACAACAATGTTTCGTATGTTTACATACAGAAAGGTCTGTTCATGTACATACATACACACATGTTTCGGAGTAGGCTCGGATGGGGGGGGAGGGGCCGCTGCCTGTACCCCCCTTGGGCGTCCCGTTTGGTTTCTGGGGGGGTCCCAGAGCTCCCGAGAGTGCCCGGGCCTGCCCCGAAACAGGCCACGACAGGCTAGTGGGGGTCCCAAGAGGACCCAAGAAGGTCCAAAGAGGCCCCGAACTCTCCCAAGATTTCCTCAAGACTGCCGACGAGGACTCCAACGCGCTCCAGGACGGACTCAAGAGCCTCTCCAAGAGGGCCCTTGGAGGCAGCATTCGTTCATGTTCCAATGGTTTTGTAGGATTTCTCCCGCTTCCGAGCCTCAGAGAGCCTTCAGAACGCTCCAAGATGGCCCACGAGGCCCCGCAGAGGGCCCCAAGACAACCCAGAAGGCTTCCCGGACAACCCAAGTGTGCACCAAGAGCGCCCCAAGAAGGGGGCCCAGAGGTCCGTAGCCATTTTGGGTCAAGGCTCAAAGTTTGCATCCAGGCTTACTCTTCTGCACATCGCATCCATCACACGCACACTCGGCCAAGCTTACAGCTTATACGTTATACCTCGATGTTTGCATTTGCGTCAGCAAATGTCTGCCATCAGGCACCCTGGTTCGCGTGGTTGGTGGGCATCGCCTTCCACATTGTGCCCCTTGCAGATTCGCTCAAGACGGTCTCCACGGTGAACGCAACGGGACACTTGCAGTTGTCGCTTGATGTTGATGGCATGGTTCTCAAGACGGACCGCTCGTGGGCCTGCACTTCGATCAGTGCGAGTAGTTTCACGTACCAGTACAATTCTTATCGGTCCGGCGACACGATCGTGGTGACAAACAATGCGTTGGGCCAGACCGGGCGGGCATACTACAAGTGGACAAATTCGGGGGGATTCAAGATCAATTTCGATATGTGGATGGGCGGTGGTACAGGCGCCGATGGCATGTGCATGAAGTACGGAGGTTATGATTATGGCGAATATGGCGAAAATATTGCTTCCAATGGCTTATCTGTATGCTTCGACTCCTATTCAAACGACAACGATCATGGCGTGGTGATGGGCTGGAACGGTGGGAACATCTTTTCACAGATAGGCTCGGGCCACTGGGGTGAGCAAGTTCCTCTATTCGAGGATTCCACCTGGCATGACGTCATTGTGGAGGTTACCCCCAGCGGCAATGGTGCGAATGTGATATTGAATTTCGACAACGGTTACTACTACAGAACTGCTTGGATTGGTAGTTACTCGTCAATCGTTGGCAGCCAGCAGTTGGCCTTCACTGCAAGAACTGGTGGCTCCACCAACTGGCACTACGTCAAGAACATCCAGGCGTGCACCGCCGCGACGCCTAGCCCGACGCCGTATCCGACGCCGTACCCGTCGCCGTACCCGACGCCGTATCCAACGCCTTACCCGACGCCGTATCCGACGCCGCACCCGACGCCGTACCCGACGCCCTATCCGACGGCATTCCCGACGCCCTATCCGACGGCGTTTCCAACGCCATTCCCGACGCCGTATCCGACGCCGTACCCGACGGCGTTTCCGACGCCCTACCCGACGGCGTTCCCGACGCCCTACCCGACGGCGTTCCCGACGCCCTACCCGACGGCGTTCCCGACGCCCTACCCGACGGCGTTCCCGACGCCCTACCCGACGGCGTTCCCGACGCCCTTCCCGACGGCATTCCCGACGCCGTTCCCGACGCCTGGCCCGACGCCCAGCCCGACGTATCCTGCAGGTTGGCCGACGCCACATCCGACCTTTCCTCCCATGGCTCCCATGGCGGGCGGAGCCGGGGCTGGGGGCGTGGCTGCAACTGGCGACCCACACTTGCAGAACATCCACGGTGAGCGGTTCGATGTGATGAGGCCTGGCAGGCACGTCTTGCTACACATCCCACGGGGCGAGCGGGCCGAGAGCGTGCTGCTCCGCGTGGAAGCCGAGGCGCGTCGGCTGGGCGGGCAGTGCGCAGACATGTACTTCCAGGAGCTGAACATCACGGGGGCGTGGGCGGAGGCGAAACAGACGGGCGGCCTCGTCTTCCAGGCCCGCAGCGACGACGGCGACCTCTCGGACTGGGAGAAGTTTGGGAGGATCGAGCTGAAGGTTGCCCACGGGCGTACGAAGCAAGGCGTGCGCTACCTGAACTTCTACGTCAGGCACCTGGGGCGCGCCGGCTTCGACGTCGGAGGGCTGCTGGGAGGGGACGACCACTCCGCGGCCGCGGAGCCTCCGGAGGCGTGCGCTCGGCGCGTCTCCCTCGCGAGGGGGCACCACGCCTCGGATGCAGAGGCGAGGCTTGCGTGACAGCGTGGGCGCGAGAGGGGCGATGGCTCCGCTTTTGAGCGCTTTAGAGAGGCACGGCGAGATCCCACGATGGTACAGCGTATCTGTTTGTAGCCGACACCCACGTGGGCCTGCGAGAGCCGCCGCGTTTGCTGGACGCGCCTTCTGAGCAAAAAAAATGTTTAAAAAAAAGAAGGGTGCCCAGAGGGGGGCCGCGAACCGATATTTCAAGGTCTCGGGCCCTAGAGGCCCCTAGTAGGCCGGCCCCTGGAGGCCACCAGGCAGGAGGCCTCCACGAAGCCCCGTGAGGCCCTTACGAGGGAAGCCCCAAGAGGCCCCCGAGGGGCCCCCAGGGAACGCCCAAGAGGCCCCCCAACACGCCTGAGCAAATCATGTCCCCAGAAAGTCTTCCAGGGGCACGACTCATCATGGGCCCGAGAGTCTCCGGAGGCTCCGAAGTACCATCGCGCTACCGGAGAGTTTTCTGGGAAGTTTGATTGGAAACATGCTTGATCGCCTTCTCGCGGCCCTCCGCGGATCGTTTCGCACAAAGTTGCCCCATTAGCCCTCTTGAACCGACGACGACGACGATGACGAAGACGGCGAAACGGCGAAGACAAGGACGACGACGACGACGACGACGACGACGACGACGACGACGACGACGACGACGACGACGACGACGACGACGACGACGACGGCGCGCCCCAAGAGGCGACGACGACATTATGACGACGACGACGACGACGGCACGCCCCAACAGGCTCGCCACGACGCCCCCAACACCCACCTTTCCCAGAAGGCCTTCCGGGAACCCGATTCATCAGGGCTTCGCCCCCTTACGCAACCATCTTCCCCAAAAACCTTTTGGAATGCGGATTGACATGCGTGGTCTTCTCACTGCCCATAAGGCGCTCAGCGTTATGGGCGCTTCTTCACTCCCCGTTCAAACCATCTGTAGTCCACTACTTCAGTGGAGCAGTGAACTCGTCAAGGCTTAGGGCCTGCTAGAACCTGAGCGCGCGCGAAGCGCGCGCGATGGTTCTAGTATATATATATATATATATATATATATAGAAATAGTCGGGTCGTGGGGGGAGGCAACTCTACCCACCCTGGGGTCCCAGGTCTATGGTTACCTTGGATCTGGATGTGGATCAATCCAGGCCTCGCAGCATGGGCCTCCAGAACCTTTGACCTCGTTCCCCTGGCCAGCTTTTCATCCCGAGCCAGCTTTTCATTGTCTCGAGGCCTGACCAACCAGCCACGCTTCGAGTGTCTTGAGGCGCCACCCCCAGAGATCCGAGCGTATTGTTTTTTTTCCGAGGCCGGTTCAGGTCCCCGAAGGTCCCGCCCTTTCCCAAGGGCCAGCTTTGTCCCTCAATTCGTGTTTTTGACGGTCCCTGGGCGCGGTGGGGGCCCCTGCGGGGTGACGGCGGCAGCGGCAGCGGCGGTGGCCGACGCGTCCAAAGTCAGACTACGCCGGACGGGGGAGCAACAGCAGCAGCAGCAGGGAGGGAAGATAAGACCAACGGGGAGAGCGAGACAAGACAAGGCACGAGTTTGCGTGGCATCTACGTGTGGTACTGGTGATGAGAGCTGGCCAAGGGAGGCACATTCCTCGGGGCGTCGACTGACTCCTTCTCCGCGGAGGCAGCTGCACTGGCGGAGTGCACTACAGCGGTGCGTAGACTGGTTCAGCGGTTGGCGCATGCATGATGTGAACGCACAGTGACGTGTCCGCCCAGTCCAGATATATTGGAGGCTATCGTGCGACACGAAACGAAACGAGACACGACAAGTGGATGGCCAAAGACTTGACGCGAGAATCTCAGGGCCCCCCCCGACAACCCCCGAGGATCGGCACCGGCACCTTCGTGACGCTCAGGCGGCCCCGGGGTGGGGCAGCGGCTCGCCGCGACGGCGATCCTCGGTCCCTCATCCTCGATCCTCGACCCTCGATCCCCGACCCTCGACCCTCGACCCTCGAGACTCGACCCTGAACCCTTGATCCTCGACCCTCGACCCTCGGTTGGGGAGGGAGAGCAAGGGTGTCTGCGGTTCAGTCGGCGCGGCTGCGTCGCAGCGCGTTGCGCTCGGTCAGGTCGGTTCGGCTGGTACCAGACATCCAGCGATATGCAAAAGTTCTGGCGGCCAGCGTATTGGATTTGCTTGCCTGCGGCAGCCGGTTCCGGGCCTGGGCGCGGTGCAACAAATGCTCCAGGTTCGGGATGAAAAACCGGAAGTGGGGAATGGGCCGAGAGTCGAAAAAGAAAAACCGTCATTTTTGGCGCTCCTCGCGAATTTCTTGGATCCGCGCTGGGCCCTCCCAGCGGCGCCTCCAGCGCTGCTCCAGTCGCGCGGAGCGCGCCAGGGAGGGGGGCCCAGCGCAGATCTAAGAAACCCGCGCGCAGCGTCAAAAGTTTATGCGTATGGCGTTTTTGCTTCTAGAGAGGTCCAAGTCCCACTCATCGAACACATCGCTGTGCGGGATGTTTGGGTTGGTTTGGCTGCGTCGCAGTCGGTTGCGTTCGGTGGGTTCGGCTCGATCGGCTGTTGGGTCGCTGCTGCGTCGCTGCGCCCCTCCCGGCTGCTCGCGGCCTGTCAGCTTCGGTAGGCTGCGGTGTCATTGTCGGTCCGGTCGGCTTTCGATCTTGCTGTCGCTGTGGACTGCCCTGGGGCAGGAGGGGTGGCGACGACGAGAACCCAGGACTCCCCTCGTGTCGTGACAAGTTCACGACGGCTGGTTCCTGGCAGTTTTCGGCCTCATGGGGGCCGCCATTGAGACCCTGGGCCCCGTCTACAGGCCGATATTCGGGGTGGCAGACCAGTCTCAAGGAGGAAGGAAGGGTCGAGATCTACCAGGGTCCACGCTGTGAAAAGATGACGGCGTCGGAGTCCCGCATTTTAAACTTGTTCGATGCGTGGGCCCTTGGACCTCGCGACCCTTTCCCTGGGGCCGGCTATTCAGCCCGAGTTATGATGTTATAACATCAATAAAGTACTCAAGCTGGAGGGTTTCCACGTGTCGGGCCCTGGGAGGCGATACTCGTTCGACAGACACTGTTTCGATACTTTTCTGGGTGCTCGAGGTTATTTCTGTGATGTGGTTCTTACGTTTGATGGGAGTAACGTAACCGTAGGACTATAAACTTCCTGTCCGCCTCGGAGAAAGTTTAGTTCACATGGTCCATCACCCTTTTTTCCAGGGAACATCCGCGTTTTTCTGGTATCCGGGTTGTGAAAGAACCTCCACGTCTCAAGGCTTCTCAAATAGTTCGGGTCCGAGTAGATGCGGTCGGAGAATCGCGCCGCATCGCCGATGCCTTGGAGATGCGGCTCGATGAGGAACCCACTGTTCTCCACGCCGACGGCGCCGATGCATCGCCAACGTTGCCGATGTCTCGCCGATGTCTCGCCGATGAATCAGCGCTGCATCGGCGCTGCATCGGCGATGCGGCGCAATCCTCCGAGCTCGTCTAACTATTCAGACCCACATTGGGCGACCTCCAGCCCCGACATCCGACGCCGTGATGTTCTCTTCGCTCATGCCTCCAGGACTCGACGAGGCCAAGCCGTAGACACCGCCGTGCCGTCCGTGGATACGCCGGACGACCCATCCCCAGACATGTCCACGTCCAAATCTCTTAAACCTCTCCCTGACCTTTCTTCACAACGTACAACGTGGCTTCCCATGGACCCGTTCTCCATGCTGAGGTGTCGACGGGTCCCGAGGCCCAAGAGGAGTGCCTTTCGGGAGACCGAGAAGGGCCCAAATCCTTCCGCCCCGATTTTTCCATGGCGCGAGAATGTCTGGGGAGGTCAGGGTATTGCCGGACGGGGCTAGGACGAGGACAAATTCGTTCCAAAGCGTTCCAGAACGCCCTCGGAGCGCTCCGAAACGCTCTGCGAATGCCGCGGCGCCCGAGACATCCTCCAGAACCCCGCGGATCTCGGGGACCTCGGTGTATTCTCCGCCGATGCTATCCTCGCCCTGGCCTCGTCTCCTACAGTCGGGGCCCTGAAGAAGGAACCCCTTTCGTTGGGGAGGGGCTCCGCGTTCCTAAGTGTTTCACAGCTTGCCTCAGGCTTTCCTTCTGTTTTCGTTAGGACATCGAAGGTTAACTTATGGAAAAAAGGGGCCTCGTTCCTTATTTAGGGTTCCTTAGGTCAAGGCCCCCACTGGATTGCACTCGGGGGGGGCGCGGGGGTGGACGGCGACGACGGCGGGAGTGCGCCGCCGCCCCCCGCGGGGCGCCCGCGCCCGGCGCCCAGGAAGCTGGCGGCCCGTGCGGGGGTGCTCACACAGGACGTGCCCCCCCGCTGGCGCGGAGGGGAGGGGGAGGAGGGGGAGGGGCAGGAGGACGAGCGGGCCCACCGACGATATATATATATATATATATATATATATATATATATCCGATGGGGTCGGGCCGAGGCTCAAGCTCGAGGTCGGCTCGGGGAGGGCACCCTGCTGTGCTTCGCGTGGGTGCTGGAGGTTTTTTCTGCCGGGGCGTCCTGGGGAGGGCACCCTCGGAGCTTCTGCGCGTGCTTGCCGGCGGAGGGTTCCAGGTTCTTGAAGGATGCTGTTCTGTCTTAGGGCCGACGGTGTATAGACGAATCGTTACATCTGCACACGGGTGTGGACCCGTGGATCGAACCCACGGTGTCGAGCGAGGAGAGGCGTGGTGGCGCGCTTTTGGACCGTGCGACGCGCGGCCCCCCCATGCATTGGGGTGGGGGCCGGAGCGTTTGAGCTTCGCAACTGGTAGAAGTTCTACGAGGCCGTGTTGCAATCGCGTTGGAGGAGTCGCGCCGGGATCGCGGCTGACACGGGGCGTGTCCCGGTGGGCACGTCTGGGGCAGATTCGGATCGGAGCCTCGGGACGGCGCCGCGGCAAAGTAGAGACCCATTGGGGGATCGCCAGCGCCTCTGGAGCGTCTACAATTGCTAATGCCGGCAAGAAGCGGGGGGCGATCGACGACGAACGTGAAGTGGACGAAGTTTGCCCCCGTGACGGGCTCCTGCCTGCTCGTCCTTCCTATCTCTTGTCTTGGAGGCAGTCGTGAGGCCTGTCGAAACCAGACGGGGGCCTCTAGGGGGCTCTCGTCGGGATCTTGGGGGTTCTCAAAGCTATCTTGGGCCTGGTAGGGCGCCTCTTGGGCTGTCTTGG